CCTGACACACTGTAGCTGTAATAATTGTTTCTCTCTATAAAACAACTGTTTGATTACAACCTCACCTTAACCGTCTGCGAAATTAAGAAGATATGGATATTGGTTATCACTGTATAAGCATCAGAAGTTAAAATATCACAAATGCTTAGAACAATTAGAAGCTTCAAAGATAGCATTTTCCGATGGAAGAAAGAAAAAACAACGTGTCTGCGCTTTGCGCTTCCTACAGGGCACATACGCATGGACGACTTGCGCGTTCTGTTCTACGTGTTGCATGCACTACAAGGGGGCACTTATACTTATACTTGCGAAAATAAACATAATGTGCTGGACAATGCGAGCACTCGAAGCTAGTAACCTCCAACGACACAACAAGGCGGCGCACACACAAATTTACGCACAACCAACGAGATATAATTTAAAACATATATTAAACCCTAAAAATAATTCGTGCAGTTCCTGTGGTTTGCGGGTCCTCACGCAATCTGCTTACTTCATGCTCGCGCGCCCTACACACACTTACTCTTCGTCTCTTTTTTCTAAACGATTGTGTACTTTAAGTCACTTGTTGTTGTTACTTGAGCACAACAAGAAGGGCTTTTGTGTTGTTGCTGCTCATTTATGTAGGTTTCATTTTTCATAAACGGAACTTGTTGAACTGTCGCGCTAGTATTCTTTTTTGCTTTTTCGTCTTCGTGCAAGATCTCCGCTTTTCGCTGCTTGACTTATGCCCGTGCGACCTGCGTGCGGGATGGATTTTCTTCGCGATTCCGCACGTTCGCCGCTTCGCCCCACATCCCTGGGTCTAGTATGCTTTACAAGCGGTAGCCCTAGGATATGGAATACATACACCAACATACACAAATAATGTAATAAATGTGTGTGTGTGTGTGCTTGAAGTTTTCTTTAAACTCTCTTCTTGCAGTTTGCCGTAATGTCAGCCTTCGCTCGGCAACTTTACGAGCGTTCTTGCGCTTTTCACGCTTTGACATGCTGTTTCTTTGTTTTGGTAATCTATGTGTGTGTGTATGTGTATTTAATTGATATATTCATACGCACGAGTAAAAACATGACTCGAGAGGCATCAACGACATTCTGGTTTGGGTTGGGATTTTAATTTCTTAAATGGCAACTGACTGTGGGTGTTATTGTTGTTGTTATCAATGACTTTTGTTTTTCATTGTGCAACCGCAACTCTAATGGCGACTTGAAGAACAGGAAGTTTGAAATATTTCAAACCTTTAATTTTTTAACCAAGTCTCGAAAGAAATTTGGAAAATTGCTTGCGCTTAGGTATATTAGGTTCTTCATAGTACATTTTAAATTTTCTTTCACAAGAAGATGAATTTTATAACTATGGAAACCTGAAAGTTTTGAGATGAATAACACAGCTCTTACAGTTTAGTTACTAATTGTTCCATATTAAAGATAAGTTATGGAAGCGAAGAAAGAAATCTGAAAACTGTAAAAATTTAATTTGAGACAAGTGAGAAAGGTCTTGTAGATCTATATGTAATACCAAAATCTATTTTCAAAAATATTGCGTTTCAAGTATTAGATTTGTAAAGGGAGGAAGATCTGATTTTTTTGTAATACCCTGAGCTGCATGCGAAAATAGTTTTGCATTAAAAATGTTTTCGCACACGTTCAGCGATCGTTCCAAGAAAACTGGGGTTTGCTATATTTTCTTGATAATACATAGGAACCAACCACGAATACGAGAGGAGGTCCCAAGGTGTTCGCTCTATGCCGATGAATCTATCTCACAAAGATCTCGGCCACTAAGGCGCAAAAATGTATATTTAATTTGACTTGTAATGTTTTATAGATTTTTGAACACGTGTGAGTTTTTAAATGCGAATACGAATTAGAATAAAGCAAAATGAATGAAGTGCTGCTGATAATTGCTGCGCAACAATGAGATTTATATACTTCAATACAAAATTAATATGCAAACCAGCAATAACAACAACACCAATAACATTGCACACCAGTAAGTAAAGACACATGGAATTGTGTTGCAATAAATGAATAAGTACAGTGTACATATGTATGTGTAGCGAGGTCTTCTTGGGAGCGACCATATGATGCAGGGAATAATAAATTATTCAAATAGGTGGAGCCGATCGGAAGAATTAAAAAAAAATATATTTTAAAAATTTTATTATAAATAAAAGTAACGTATTTTCCACGCGCACACTCGCATACACGAATATCTAAGGTTCAACAAAAGGGAAGGCACAATAGGCCAGTATATTGCCGAAATGGAATTGGTTTCTTTGCGAGTGGGTTGGGTGTAAACGATCGGAAAATACCATACGAGAATAACAGTAGATTGATCGAAAACCGCAACGACAAATTTAAATTTAATAACTTCATTAACATGTAGATAAATAAATTGAAGAACGATACGTCATCTGCTTGTAAACGCTCTGTCCCGGTGACGAAGCGCGCTGCGCCGCTCAACGTTCGACAAACCGGTGTTTATGATTTGATTACTAATCGCGTCGAAGACGACCATTGCCATTGCCAAAGTCGACAGTCAACGCTTCGCTACAACAACACCATATGCGCATCCAAGCATACACATATCTACGAATTAGTCAGTCAAACAGAAACGGGCAGTCCAAAATTGGTGAGCTATACCTACATGTGTTTGAAATCATATGTACAAGTATGTATGTGCTTGTGTATATGTGTGTTTCAGAAATATGATTTTTAATAGAATTTCAACAAAAAGTATGAAGTCAAAGTTCCTAACGACATTAACACTGGATACTTATTGCCAGAATACACATACAGACGAATATTTGTCTGTTGGCTTGTACTTAACTGCTTCTTCGCTATCTAATTACATATGCAGCACGGCGTTCTTCGACGCCAAAAAGCCATAAACATTTAATATTAAATGCTAAAAAAGAAAAACCAAAACATTGCTTGTGCTCCGAGTTGGGCCCCGGGGAAATCAATACACAAATCTCGATACATAGACAGGAAATGAAAGCAAATAAACGGCCGAAATGCAACGTTACATTTGAATCGGGGTTAAATGTGCTGCGATCGCTGTTGAACTGTGGCTTAATTTGTTGTTGTTGCCTCGGACAATGTGCCTCCGTAATTTATGCTTTATTTGTTCTTACAAATTTGTAGACAACACCTTCTGCTCTTATTGTTGTTGCCATTATATAGCTACTGTGCACAGAGGCATTTTGGTTTGATTTCTATTGTCGCCGCGGCTTCCTCTTTGTGTCAAAGCACACATATTTGGGCTGCACTTTTGGGGTGACCAGCTAGGGGCCTATGTGATATATACTTGTAGAAATTGTAGTAAATGCTAAGCGAAAACATACAATATATTAGAAAAGAGCGTTAAATTCGTGTATGTGTGTCTTCAGCCACTGCCGCAAGGTAGCTAGGAAAGTTCCCATTTACAGGCGAGTCGGTGAGTTTTGCTGGCAACTTAAATGGTAACACATTCTACATTGTTACATTGTTCTTTCGGTATTTGTGCCACTTTTGCAGCAAAAGGGAATCGCTTGTGTGAATACATATAATATGTATATTGAAAATAGAAAGGGCAACAAATAGCCTTTTATAGAAATGTCCATTCAAACCTGCAATATATGTACGGCCGTGTAAGTGAGCATGCGGTTATTAGATATCCACTTAACATAAGGATTAGACATAAACATAATATAACATATCACTTGAGGCCTGGAAAGTGATGCTAGTGTTGAAGTGAAGACAAATGATCAGCTGCTACGGACTGAGGCTTAATTCGACCATATCTAATAAAGGTTACATAATTCTGTAAATAATTCAGCAAGATTGTAGAGTAATAGTGAATAAGAGGATAACAAAGTTGTCGAAAAAAGCTTCAGACCACTATCTCTTTTTAAGGAAATATAGCTGTTTCAAGCTCGGTGCCTCCTTGGTCTGGATTTTTATTGTTTGTTTTAGGAAAAAAATGATTTATCTCACTGTATCTTTTTGTTTCGAAACGAAACTCATTACAGAGTGAGTATTTTATTCAATGATCAACATCTTACTATTGATTAAAGTAATAGGTCGCAGTCTTATACGTACAGGGAGTTACGGAGAAAATAACTAATTTTCGAAAATTCCAACGTTATTTATAGTGTAGTGTTTTCATCACTTATTTTCTTCAAAGAACCAATTAATTCAGATAATTATGCTTTTCGAAATATTATATATATCACTTTTTTTATAATCCGGATCAGTTTGTTTTAATAATTTGATTTTCTCTTATTCTATTATCATTGGTGGATGCATATTTCTGGTGCGATGTGTAGCTTAAGTTGACTTAGGTAGGCTAGATATTTTCGTTGCAAGTAAAATTCTGAACATATAATTTAAATATTTTTTATGCCAGTTTGAAGACGCTACTTCCAAAGCACTGTTAAGGGGCTTATCTACCTTAATTTACTAATTTTTAGTCTTTGATATAGTAAAAACAATCCTTTTTCAAAATTCTGCTTTTGACGCGTCCTTAAATATACCAGTATTTTTTGAGCATGTTTTTTAAGCTAAAAAATTTTAAAGAATTTAAGAATAAAGAATTTAAAATTTTTTTATCCAAATAAGTTCGTTTCTAAACTTTGCGAGAAGTCTGGCAAATAAGTAACAATTTACAAGTTTCGAATATTTATTATAATTTTGTTAGAAACGAACCAAACTTAAAAAAAGTTTTCAGTGCGGCGAAAGGGGAGCTCAATATCTTATAAACTATATTGTCAGGATAACTCAAATTTGATCTTTTAACTTTAGTCGACTTAGGTTACTTTGGCATATTGACACAATTATTAAGATTTTTGAATTAACGATTTGGTAAGTTTTTATTTTTATGCAGCAAATTAAAATTGCAATAAATTTTATATATATGTTTCTAAACTTTTCCCTTCTATCATTGTTGTAGGTACATACACTTTTATACTCTTTCATTATGAACTACTTTGTGTAGTTTTTAATATGTATTTTACCTTGTTATACTTTCCAATTTAACAGGTGAACTAAGTTCTTAAAAAAGTTCCAAAAATATTTTAGTTTTGTCGTATTCTAATTCAGCATTGTTTGGCTGTCTATATCTTCTAATTTATATATGTATGTATATACATATGTTCGATTAAGTACGTTGAAGTACTGAACTTACGTCGATTGCATAAATCTGTTGCGTTTCTTCACTTCACTTCGCTTTAATTTAATTTTTCAAAAATATCCACAATTTGCTTTCCCACAGCCAATTAGGCGACACTTTGCACTCTTCGGCATGTAGTTTATATTCTCAGCAGATTTCGCACTTTCAAGGCGAATTTCATAATATTTTGCGTGAATAATAAAAATTCCACTTTCTTTTGTTTACAAAACAGTTGCGCTCGCTGCGAAGGTGTAAAGCACAATATCCACAAAGCCAATGTGTGACGAGCCGCCCATGCGACAGCGACCGTTGGCGGCAGCAAATGGCCTATAACCGTTACTGGGCGAGTTGGCAGTTGGCAGTGGTCGCTGCCAATTGTCATGCGACACAAAACACTTTCACAAAATTACGAAATTATATGAACGTAATTTCACTGCGGTTTCTCGTAATTCTTTTTTTAAAAAGTGTAAATATCAGCGAACCAATTTCTTTGCTGATACAATTTCGATCACTTTTCTTGCTGTAAAATAATCACTTTTTTATGTTTCACATGCAACATCACCACATAAAAATTTCTTTGTGAATTTAATTGTGTGTGTGTGTGTGTTCACTTAAGGTAATTGAAAGCGTTAAGTGCTGCGTTGATTTCTTCCTCAGTAAAATACAATATGGGTACGATCATCAACACACTCACAACTCTGACGGCTGGTGCTTTGGAAATTCACGTTAACTAAATGCGGTAAAGCGTTAAGTTCCGTTTGTAGAAGACGCGCACACGCGATGCCTCGAACGCAACGAACCTTACAATAATGAAACGAATTCTTAACTGAAAGTGCTGTAGAACTGTCCTCCATAACGACGTCGTAGTCGAAGCTCGAGCTGGCGATGAAGCTTCGTCGTTGTCGTCGTCGTCATCGCCGCCGCCATTGTCATAGCTATTGAGGCTTGCGATGCGTCGTCACGTTTCACGCCGCAAAAATCTCACTCATTGCTGTTCGCTCGTGTGTTTGTGGTTGCTGTTGTTGTTGTTGCTTGTGTGAAGAATTAAAAGCTACTAAGTAAATGCGGTAAAGAACGCAAATGGCTAAAGAGTTCTCAGCTAGAAGCCAAGATTGCTGGTTAAATGACAGCGAAAACGTCGATGATGATGATGTTGACGTCGGCGACGACGGTAACGACGGCAACGATGGATATGCCGGCAGCAAAACGAGACATTGGGAATGAGAATATGTGAGTATGTTTAATGTATGAGAGAGACGAGGCAAACGAAAGTCATTGAAACATTTGTTAGCGAAATGTAAAGTAAAATGTTGATTAAATGCTGTTAAATAGCGCTACTTCGCACGAAAGTGTTCTGTGAAACGAAGGGAGCGCTAATAGAGAGAGAGAGAGAGAGAGAGAGAGAATGAGAGATAAGGTTACCAGTGGAAGCTTTGTGTTAATAACGGCTTCTATTAGAATAGTCTTCTGTCTTTAATTAAAGGATAATTAAAACTAAATAACAATATTGGTTGAAGAACTAGGTATATAATATATCTTTATTTTGGTGACAACAAAACAAAGTAATATTTAAATTATTTACAGTTTAGCCAAAAGAAAGGTCAGCTAAAGACACTGTGGGCCACATATTCCTTATCTGGGGGTAATATTTCATTACGACAGTTTTTAGATCATAATATAATCATCAAATTTTTAAGAATTTCAAGCCACCACATGTTCCTAGTATTTCCTGTGCCAAATTACAGCTATTTATTCTAATTTGGAGCTTGTATCTAACACTTTATAGGTTTTCGATTAACGGCAATATGTATGCTTCGTACATGTGTATATATATATATATATTATATATTGTTATGAAATAACTTGAGCGATTCTAATGGAGCCAAAAATCATACATGACTCTGTTACCTACAGACTTTTTGTTACTGCTCTCTCGTTCTGTTATTTTAAATAATCTCAAGCAATGTTGCTAACAGCTGTTATGTTAATTAGCAGACACTGTTTACCGCGCACAGATTTGTCTCTCTGCAATAACCCGTTTCGCTTTATTGATTCTGCCGTTGCTTTTGCTGCGATCCTCGTCTGCCTGTTATTCGATATTTCTTGCCCGCTGGCTTAGTTACATGCACACACACACATATATGGTATATATTTGCTCATTTTCTCCATAATACTGTTTGATATGGCTTGTTTTTTCACAGCCGTGTTACGCTACGAGTTTCGTCTCGTTTGTTTTGGCTCTAATTTCTAAGCAAACACAAATGCACCTTTTGTTGGGCAAATGCAGTGACTCCTCTGGTGCCAAAGGTAAGATGGGGGTTCGCTGGCGAGCGCTTGTTGGTTTCTAAGACGAGCGTGTTTGTTGTGGTTTCTAAGATATGTTTGTGGTGTTTGTGTGTGTGTTTTTCCAGCGTTCTTTTTATTTACATTTCATTTCGAAGCGATCGCTGATAAAACTGATTTAATGACTTTTCTTTGGAAGTGTATTTTATGGTCTTCGCTTTGCTTTGCTTTATTTCAATAAACTTTTCGTCGCTTCTTGCATTGACAATGAGTCTTGATGCTCTTCGCTAGCTGCTAGTATGACAAGAATGATGATGTTGACGGTAATGACGACGCAGGCATTGTGTTCTTTTTTTCATTTTAGAATTCAACACATAGTTGGAAATTTTATTAAGATTTATTCAAATTAGCGTAATTGTTATGCTAGTAGTGAGCAATTTCGGCTTGGTGCTTCTCCGTATTAGAAGTCAGAGTCTGTTATGTTTTTCTGCCTTCATTTTCATGACTTTATGGATCATTATAAAAAAAGGCGTTAAAGCACACGAATTAAACCAGCCGTGGTGGGTAGATAAATTGTCTTAATTTTCTGCGTGTGAGCATCACTTTTGTTGTCTTTTTTTGGTGTTTTTATCAGACGATACTCTAAACTTGTAGAAGGGTGATAATCATTGGTTTGTATCTGATGTTCTGTTCTTGTTTGCTCGATTGTAAAGTATTTAGTATTTTTTTAGGTGGCTTAGCAGATCGAAATTTATAAAGTATGATATTTAAACATACGACTTTTTTATAACTGAAACAGTTAGGCAGTTGATGATGGCGACTGATGAATAACAAAAGACTTAAGCAACGAACTTAATGGTAAACACTATTGGGTCATAGAACGATTGCTGACGGTAAATAATATTAACACAATATAAATTAGGCAACCATAAAAAATAGCGGTTAATTGAGGCAATCAACTTTGAAGCCTCGCATGGACATGTACATTTTCCCAGAGCAAGGCTTTAATAAATCTGATATGAGTATGTGATCACTTTTTGTACTCGAATATAACGATTAAGCAGCAATAGAACCTAAAACGTTTCGTCTTGCCTAAAATATGAAATTTCGCGATGTTTTTTCATAAGTAGTTTAAGGAATATTAAAAAAATTTTAAATTGGGTCGCTATAGGCGTGTCGAACTTGATTTTCCATGCTACTAAAGAACGCTAAATCATATTATTTCATATACACATAATTTAGCATATACCTTTTAGACGACTTTGCAGCACTTAGAGCGCTATCATAAGATTTATTATGTTTGCAGGAGTTCGATGAACTCGCCGCTGTTGATCAATATGAGAAACATCTATTAATTTTCGGTCAACTTTCGGCTGTGTTGATTCCAATTTGCCGCACAACACGAATAAACAGAAATGTAACCGAAACACATTAATTTCCAGCTAACGGTATGCCGCGCACACGCATGCCTTCAATTCTGTACGCAAAGTCATGTTTATCAAGAGGCATCTGTCTCGTACATACATACCTACAAACACATACACAATATCTCAGTCGTTCGTTCTTACGATTGTTCGGGCCTTTTGTGAAGTCACACACAATGGCTCGGCTCGAACGGGCTTGCTGCACAGCGAAGAAATGAAGATGCAAGCAGCAATCAATCACCATGCGCGCAAATAAGGTTCAGAACCAGCAGGAATTAAGAAGCGCTCAAGCCTTTCCAAATACGGATGAATGCCGCGCATGCGAGTGTGGGTTTGCGTGGAAAAAAACCCCGAAAATTTAGACCACAGCCAAGGCGAAATACCAGGAAATGCATATGACAAAGCGGTTAAGCCAAAGCGGGCATGCAAGCGATTAAGAACCGCTAAACGAATACATGCACTCACACACACACACACATGCACATTGTTGGCTTTGTCACCATAAGCACTCAATAGACAGTTACGCACAACGCACATTCCCCTCACATTTGCATGCGCCCAGGGGCAGGAAATTACTTACGTGCCAACGCACTAAACCTTCACTAAAGCCAAGTACTGTGTACTTTATGCCGAAGAAAGAACTACCATGCCGTTTAGTATTATTTTTTAATAAATGCATTCTTTTCGCGCTTCATCACTACCAGCACTTAAATGCCTTTGATTGTTGCGCCATCGAAACTTGAAGCTATATTTGGTCGTGCTTGAGTTCTGGCGAGATAACAGAAGGGTCTAAAGTATGCGCATGACACCGGACGACGTGCATAAAGTATGAATATATGCTGACAAATAATATGCGCGTACGCATTGTATGCTTTGTGCCGACATGCCATTATAACTGTATTGATCGCTACGTGCAACTGTTGCAAGCACACTGCTTAATAAGTCATCCTCGGCATATTTGTTGTTTGTCATTGTTGTTAAGTATCCACGGCAGCTCAAACGAAGAGCATAACCCCTTTATGCTTTTATGTGTGTGTGTGTGTTTGAGTCAAGTACGTGCGTGGGACTCACATTTCGCCGAGTAAGTACTATCTGGCATTTACATAATTGCTTCAAGAACTTTTCTTTGAAATTTAATTACCAGGCAGCTGGTTTATGTATTTTTGTTGTAGAAGCTTGGAATCAATGTGTGTAGGTTCGTAAATATAAACGTATTCTTTCCGAAAACTTTGTTTGAAAAAGTGTCTTCTCTGCTCACTCTCCTTGAAACAATTTAAAGACAAAGTTTCATCACAAAAGCATTGAAAACTTATAACAATTTTTCAAAAATTTATGTTTTCTGTGAATTATTGTTAAACAATAAAATTTTCATGAGATTAATGGGATATCGAAATTTTGTCTCTTAAAAAGCCCAGCCGTAAAGCACATTTTTTGCTGCGAAAAAAATTAAAGCCCCACTTAGTATAATTTTTAAAATATTTCTAAACCATCTTTTGTTTTTGTTGATGACGTTTATTATTTTGTAATTTATTTATCTTGTGCTTTTAAGGTCAAACCTGGAAATAGGCCTGGAAACATTTTATCTCAATGCTTTAAGCAGTTTCAATATTATCCAAGTTTATAACTTCACTTATGATATATGCGCAAGAGATATATCCATATCCTGTCAATGTGCCACAGACACATCGCATGCACACATATATCTATCACACCGAAAACCCCTCGTCCATCTCTACGCAAGGATCGGCGCACAAAACATCTGCCTTTCCAGTGGCGGTGCGTGCCACTCATGCACAATTGCGCTTAGAGGTGCTGCTCGACTGCGCACCGGCTCTTCCACTTGTACGAAGTCGGCATTGTCTTATGAACTGCTCGATTGGTAAGCAAGTGGAAGTTGGCGCTGTGCTAGGCAGAGAAAAAATTCTCACCCGTTCTCGGGTGACGGCTGCGTTTCTGCTTTTATTACTTATCAATGCGTGTTGCGCATTCAAAAGGCTTCACGCGCGCAACCGCAATTTCCGTCACAATTTTTTCAAATTTATTTTTTAAATTCTGAATCTTTTTTCGGTTTATTGAACACTTAATCAATCTACGAAATCTGCATTCGATATGCGGCTGACAGCCTGCATAATTCAGTGAAAAAAACAATAAAACAAAAACAAGAAATTGTTTCAAGAAAAGCAAACGAGTGTAAGATGTTGCAGCAAACCAAGAAATCGGGGTGTTGCCCATTTAACGCTTCGCTTTCGTGATCATTGTCTACATGCATTTTCGGTATATTCTTTAGCAGTTGATATTTTCATATTTTGTTCTGCTGATGGTGGACTACAAGACTGAAGGCAAACTTCAGACACACAACTTTTGAG